TGCTAGTGATGTGCCAGATGATTATCAAGGTTAATACATTATTCTTTCTAAGTTTTTAGATTTTGCTCTTTTGCAGTCATTAAATATGACTTTAATCAGTATAGCTATTCCTGCTTATATTTATTAGTTGACAATTCAGATTTGTCCCTCTATTTCGTCGCCAGTTCTGATCAAGTCTGATCATTTTTTGCAGATTAGGCTTACATTTCTTTCTCTCATACACATATGTCTACTTCACACACTCCATTGCTACTCATTTCATCACATCTATTTCCACTGCTTCATTTACTGATAATTTCTCTATCGTCGTATTTTACACAAGATTTCTCATTTGTTTCTTATCTCCTTTCTTATAGAACACCGACCGGACTAGTCATCTGATTTTACATCGTTTTCGTAAGCAACTAATCTCTAATCTACAACAACTAGGCTTTGATCCGGATAGTATCCTCAACCCGACAACATCTGCATCATCTGGATCCAATGATCAGGGTAACCAACCAAGGAAAGGTGTAAATGAATCTGATCCTCACAATGCATCTTTTGATTTATCGAGCAATGCCTCCAATCGACCACTTCTTGACCCGCCTGAGCTAATCGGTTCGGCTCGGCCAAACGCTGCTTTAATTGGTGGTATCGATCCGGTTCGGACTTCTGTTGCTAGACTCCATCAAAAAAATCCTGTTGTTCCTAGCGCGGCTGGTGGCTTAACTTTGGCTGGTAATTGTATTGGGGGAGGGTTGGGTACTTCTCGACTTGGTGAGACGATATTAGGTATGTTTGTGAATGAAAATGCCTCATGGTATTTTTCATTTTTTTAATTAGATTTTCGAAACTGAATTAAGAAATTAAAAAAAATTATCTTTGCAGGATTCACGATTTATTATTAACAAATATTTCATGTGCCTTCCTATCTCACCATTAGTCCATATACTTTATAAAACCGTTTTTCAATAGGGCAAACATGCAATCACAATCGAAAACGTTATTTATATTCACAGTAAGTAGTATAACTCAATATCCAATATTTATTTAGAAACATACTTTCTACCAATATTTCTATATAATTGTTTGTTAATGAATACTTTTAGTTTATTGGATTTTTGGATGATTGAGGCTAGCTAACTATTTTTCTACTTGGTTATAACATAGCCTTGGAAAAAAGGAAAGTAAATAGTTACAGATGCACAAAGCTACCCTTGGGAAATGTGGCTTCACCTAAGGGCTTAATCGGCACTATATAAATACATTTCTCATATTTTGTTTTGTGATATTTTTCGACATTTACAAATTCGCATCTCTAATATCTTATTTATATTGTCAATTAATTATGTTGTGGCAAATTTGGCTGAGTTTACATTTTTACGATCTACAATTTATTTTAAATATTTGTCAGCTATAATTCTACCTAATGGTAGCTTGAAATTGGCTCATATTCTATTCAAAAGAATTGATTATTTCTGAACTAGTAAATAATAAATACGTTAGAAGCTTTCAAATTTCAAGCACTATTCCTTGCGCATTCTTTCTATCAACTTAAATAAATGATTGATCGAAGGTATTAAGATTAAGATGGTGTATGGTCGCGGTCTCCTTTCGTTGTATACAAGTTGTTTGACCTTGTTATCGCAAATTGGTCATATTGGCAGAAGGACCTAGAGGAGCACATCTTGTCCAGAGTCGGACCGTGGACTTTGTACATTCCCAGACGTTTCACCGGCATCGTAGTTGGCATCGTCAATGGGCCTTGCCATTCTTAGCACCACATTACAATTAGTCAA